TGGAAGGCAATTGGAAGAGTTCTTGAGTACCTCAAAAGAACATTGGAATTTGGCTTATTATATTGCAATTATTCAACTGTACTAGAAGGGTCCACTAATGGAAGTTGGATTACCGGTAATTGAGATAACAAGTCCACCTCTGGATGGATTTTCTTCATTGGTGAGGGTGCGATCTCTTGGACATTTAAGAGATAAACTTGTATATCTCACTCGACCATGGAATCTGAATTCATAGCCTTGTTGGCGGCTGCTAGAAAAAAAGCTGAATGGATTATGAATTTATTATTGGATATAAAACTTTATCCTAGTCCTATGTCTCCAATTTCCATTTACTGTGATAGTAAAACAATTTTGTCGAAAGCCTACAGTGGTACCTATAATGGTAAGTCTATACATACATCCGAGACATGAATTTGTTAGGCAATTGATTCAAAATGAAGTCATCACTATAATTTATGTGAGGTCAAGTAAAAACTTGATTGATCCTCTTACCAAAGGATTGCCTAGAGAATTGGTAAGAACGACAACTAAAGAGATGGAATTAAAACCCTTTACTTAGTCACCTGTAATGGTAACCTGATCTGAACTGAAAATATTAGTATTGGGTTTAATGGGTAACAACAAGTTACAACGATGTGATTGTTAGCATTGACATTGAGAAATTTCCCATTGCAAAATAAACAATGATGCTTGTTATAATGAAAGGTTGAGTTAAATCTTAATAAAGTTCTGAAATGTGTCGAATAACAGAACACATAGTGGAACTTCACCTACATGAACATAGAAGTGGTGCCGCTTCTCATGAAAACTTGGGTTTGCTATTAAGATTGTTCATGAAACCAGGAAAGAAGCACATGGCCATAATAGTGCTGAGCAAAATTTGAAACTCTTGTAAAGACTGGACATTTTTATGTGTATAGGCACCTCCGGTCTATCTTGAGAGTAATTAGTTTAAGGTCTTGCCACCAATAACTTTGAAAAGGCTCTAAGATATCCGTACTAATAAAAGGTTTAAGTTATAAAACACCTTTTGTATGCATAACTATGTCATAATAGTTTGGATTGAATGAGACCTATGTAATTGATCAATCAAAGTAGGGGATTATTGGATTTTAATCTCTAATAATCTCATTAGAGATTAAATCCAATAAGGTTTGATTAATCAATTACATGAAAAATACACTTGCACACATGTATTGAAAATTAGTTTTTTCTCTTACTAAAACCAATTTTAACTTATCTCACAATGAAAAATTACAAGACTTGTTTTGAGTTTTTAAATAGTAGCTTATTTACACTCTTTATAAATAAAGAGGAGAGTATGGAGGTTTGCCACTGCGCAACGCTCGCACACACATGCACGTTCATGTGTGCGGCGCAATGAGGCGCACTTTGCTCGCACCTGCGTAGCTCGCAAAGGGCGACTTTGACTTTTGGTGCACAGCTAACCGTTGATGTTTCAACAGCCACGATTTGATCAGGTGTGATCGAGAGGCAATATTCAAAGTTAATAGTCATTAATTGTTAACTACCTTTTAACAGTCACAATTTAAATTGTGACTATTCAATGAGTCTTTTTTGAACCAGCACCTTCCTCTGCTCCATGACTCTTTAGAAATTATTTAAGGAGCGTAAATCAAGCAATTACACACACAATTTTCGAAAATCACTTTGTCTCTCTTAGCCCAATCTGCTATTGTCTCATAGAGGGTTTTTTCAAAGACCCTTCAACTTTGTTGGTTGCAAATTCTCGCCCAAGGCTCTGTTGTATCCTAGAAACGGATTTGCCTATAACCCAACAACAAACTTAGTGGAATTGAGTGAGGGGGGGGGGGAATAATGTTCTAAAGACAGTGTCTTCAGACACACCTAAGAGCTTCTCCTCTAAGTTTCGATGACACCAATTCCTAACAGAAACAACAAAGAAATCTGGATATGTTGATGACTTTGTGGAATAAGGTGAGAAGAAAAGGAAGAAGGCTAATGGAGAGCCAATAAAATTTACAAGTTACACATGGTGCACTCAAATTTTGTAGTGTAAGGCCCCGTTTTGCATCCATTTGGAGAATTGATTCTCACGATTCTTACAATTCTCTAGATGAGAATCGTGCTTGGACATGACACTCCATCAATTCTGATTCAAAGTTGGATGAAAAAATGGATGGTTCCAAAAATGAGATTCTACATGTGCCCCACTTGCATTCGAACTCGAATCGAGATTATGTGTATGTTTGGTTCTCGCTACGTTAACTTTAAAATACAAACACATGTGCTCCACTTACATGCGAAAGCAAGGGTACAAAGGTAATTTTGTTGAAAAACATAACAATGATCGCTTAAAACTTGACCCACCGATTGCTTAAAACTTGACCCATCGGTTGCTTAAAACCTGACCCACCAAGATGATAATTCGGATTAGCTGAACATTTTAGCAGCAAACTATGGAATCAATGATGAGATTTCACGCCAACAATAAATTCATGGGCCCCACTATGAAAGGTGTAGACCCCATGTATTTTATTATTGGCCTTATCATTGGTTCCACAGTCTGCTAAACAACCAAAGTGTTTAGCTAAACCTTGCTCCCAAAATTACTTCTTCATATTTTCCTTTATCCCTCCAATGGCTACCTTTACTATCAACGGTGTTGTCTCAGCAGTCGATCTCTTAGCTTTTTCCTTTTTTTTTATTTTCGTAATTAAAAGTTAGATACTACATTGATTCCATTCTCTTCCCGCTTCCTCATTGACTCCAAGTCTCCAACTCCATTAGATCTACACTGTACTGGCTTTACTTCAGATCCCAAGTTCATCCACTGTTAAATAAAAAGTGTGAAGAAGCATATTTAGAGTGATAAAAATGCCGAGAGCACTGTTCGGTGGTAGATTAAGCACCGGCAGGGGAGGGTGGACTATTGGTGTTGGAGGACCTCTTCGGAGCTTCTTCTTTTACCGGATCTTCATTTTTGCCATATTTACTATTCTCTTCCTTGTTACTCTCTGTTTTCCTCACCACTAACCCTTCTACTAACCATCATAATTCGGTAGGGGTGTCAATCGACCAGTTTTGGATTGGATCCAATTCGATCCAAAACTTATCAAATCGGATTTGGACGATCCGTTATAATTATTGGATTGGTTTAATCCAAAATAAATTGGTCCATATTCTTATTGGTTTGAATTGGATTTAAACCAAATTTCCAATAATCCGATCACGAGGCCAAATCCTTGTCCAATTTGAAACCAATCAAAATTGAAGCCGACATAAAATTACTTTTATGAGAGTACTTTTACGAAAGCACTTTTATAAAAGTAATTTTATGAAAGCACTTTTATAAAAATACTTTTACAAAAACACTTTTACAAAACTACTTTTATGGGCATTTTTTCAAAAGAACTTTTACAAAAGCACTTTTGCGGAAAATACTTTTATAAAAGTACTTTTGCAAAAGCACTTTTATGGAAGTACTTTTATAAAAGAACTTTCATGAAAGTACTTTTACAAAAGCACTTTATGAAAGAACTTTTACGAAAGTATTTTTGCGAAAGCATTTTTACAAAAGCACTTTTATGAAATCGCTTTTATAAAAGCACTTCTACGAAAATACTTTCATTAAAGTGCTTTTACAAAAACATTTTATGGATGTACTTTTATCAAAGCACTTTTACAAAATTTACTTTTCAATGCCAAAAGGGTATATTTTTGTAATTTGCAGATTTTCTTCATTTTAATATATTTTTGTAATTTTTTTATATGCTCTATTTTTATATAATTTTTGATATTTCATTCGGTTTGGATTGGATCTAATCCAGTCCATTTACATTTTAATGGATCGGATTGGATTTGGACCGAATTAGGTCAATCCACTTGTAAGTGGACTCACATTGGACTGGATTGGGTTGGACCAAATCCAATCCAATTGACACCTCTACGATTTTGTAATGATTTGCAATTTATTTCATTCTTTTTTCCATTAAAACAAAATTACTAAATGATCTTGAATTGTTATTGGAATTGATACAGGTTCTACCCAGTACTGGACTGCTGGTGCAAGTCTACATTCACTGGCATTTCTAGCCCTAAAATCAAATCATTAGAAGGCTTAAGCTCGATAACTCTTAAGCAACTTTGAGTTTATTTTCTTCAAGGCAACTTTTCTTGTATTGGTTAATCAAATTATCCCTAAAACCCAGACCAACACCAAGGAATCCATTTTGATTCTTAGAAACAAGAATCTGAGTTCTATGCCAAACACCTACATTGATTCCTAGAATCAAGAAAACCTAGAATTCATTCTTTTCGGGATGGATTCTGAGGATGAGAAATTATAGAATTGATGCCAAACAAGGCATAGTATTTGGTTGTTTTTTTTTTCTTTTTTATTATGGTTTTTGGATTATATAAAGTGAGCTACTGATATTTCATCAAATGTAAAGATTCAGGGGTAATTTGCTGATATAAATTATTTAAATGCTTATGTGGATAACTTCCGTTAATGATCATCACCAGTGTTTTGCAGGTGAATTTTAGACAATAAAAACTCAGTTACAAGGGTTTCTTTGGAAGTTTTGAAATGTCATGGTGAATTTAATAGAAATGCTGAAAAGTCATTGTGAGTTTTAGATGATATCCCCAAAAATATTTTTTATAAACATAAAAGTATAAAAAAATTTTGAAAACATTTTTTTTTAATATCATCATCATCGTTATAAAAAATTGCAATGTATGCACATTTACTAGTATAAATAATTATCTCATAAAAATTTCAAATCTTCACACACACAAAAAATACAAATATTAAAGGGAAGAATCTAAAATTGGGCTTTGAATGGTCCAAACAGCCCCTCCAGGGCCTCCACCAGTCCCCCCCCACCACCACCACAAAAAAAAAAAAAAAAAAAAAAATCCACTAACCCATTCCATGGAACCGAGTTGGGTTGAAGAAGTGCTCAACTCGTTCACAAACTCGTCTATATATTTATCCTTCTCAGGGTCGCGGAGTCGAGCGTTTGCACGCAGACGCAGGTTTTCATCTATTCTGGTCTTCTGCCCTCTGTGACGTTAATTTGCAAAGCCAAGAAAAGAAAGGGAACCAACCCATTGATTATTCTCTACTAGTTATTCTCTATTATTCTTCTCCTGCAAATCTAACTACCCTAAAATGCAACCTCTAGTCGAGGTTGTGCACGTTATTGAACAGACAGATTTCTGCCATTTCCAATTAGTTATAGCTGTCTCCGATCGATCTGATCGATTTTATAATTCTCATTCAGATAAAGCTCAGAGAATCCATCTCCAAGGTATTCCAGAGGAAAACTCCAATTTTGCAGTTGAATATCTTCTATTTATAGAGACTTTGCAAATCCCATTTGTTAATTCCTGAAACCCATAAAAAAGTTTCATCAGTTTGATCGTCGAAAGTTGTTTATTTTATGCCTATTCTTGTTTGATTCATTTTGAGTAATGGATCACAACCCTGTAATCCTTGAAATTAGTTCTGATGAAGAGGGTGGCTTGGACGAAGTAATCGATGACAATCTCGATTGGATATCGGAACTTCTCTATCCGGTTGGTAATGTAACAGAAGAATCGGATGATGTTGTAGTTGTGGGCGAGTTTAGGGCTAGTTCTGTTTTTCAGAAGCAGAATTACAAGCCTCCGGATACTGCAAAGCTCAAGGATGATTCTGATGATGAATGCATGATTTTGGATGGTGATCCCGACAACCCAGTTGCTGTTGTAAATGATACAGAAGATGGATCAGAAGAATTGCTTATTGTGGGCGAGAAGGGGCAGGCAATGCTGTTTTTTCCTATTCATTTCTTTTTCTCTTACTGGTTTTGATATGCTGATTTCCAGATAGTAGCATGATAGAGTTCTAGGTTATGTTCTGGTTTGTGAAATTGGTCCTTTCTGAACTCTGATAAACTTTTGTTTAATCATCTCCAAAGGAAAAAGGAAAACAAAAACCCAAATACAAACACATTTTGGTTCTCATAACTGCATAATTTTACAATGGTGTGATTGTTGTTTTAGAATGTATTTTCCCCATTTGATGTAGTTCTAATAACACTTTCAATCAATAATCGTCTTTCTCTTATGAATGATTTTGGATTTGACATAACCATTTAGGAGACACAAGAGCTTCCTGGACAGAATAAGGTATAGAAACAGAAGAAAGGAGAGACACAAACTTTTGATGGGTAGGAGACAAGTGGTAAAAGGAAACATAATGAGAGATGGGGTGGTTGGTATAGGTATGCTTACCCTTGTGAAGAGCTATGGGGAGATCAAGGTCCGGCTGAGAAAGATTTGCCGATGGTGAAGGTGGGGTTGACAAGTTGGAGGCTAGAGGTGAAGCTGATGCTGGTGCTTGTGCCAACTCCTGGTCTCTTGTAGAATACACTGTGAATTGATGGGTGTATGGGTTCTTCAAGGGTAGAAAAGGGAATGAAGACATCACTGGTATTATCGGGAGAGGAAAAGAAGGGGAAGGTTCCTTCCAGAGAATAAAGGAAGACTCTCAAAGAAAGTGAGGTTGTGAACAACAAACACCTAACGAAAGACACGATCATGGCACTTGTACCCTTTCTGAGTGCAAGAATAACCAAGGTTGGACCCTGTCCAAATCAAAATCAATTTGGACGGATTAAACTGATCAATAAGACATATTGAATTGGACCAATCCAGACTTAATGGTCCAAAGTATTTATTGGATTGGATTTGGCTTGGTCCATCCATAATGGATTTATCTTGGATTGTGTCAAATTGAACCAATATCTGATCCATTGGTAGAGGATAAGAATACAGGTGACAATGGATTAGGTTTGGGTTGGAACCAATCTAAATTAAAACCGATTTGAATAGATTGGATGGTCCAGACATTGAATTGGACCATTCCGAAATGGCCCAAAGTATTCATCAGATTGGATTGGATCTTGATGCAAGTCGAACTAGCCACCAATCCGTTTTGAGCTCTCTTGACGACGTTTATTGAAGTCCAGCTCGGTAGAAAAACATCCTGCCGAGCAAACCCACATGTAGCCCTGGCAACAACCACTTGGTGATACGATTGTCCATCTTACCAACTCTAGCAAAAAGTGGGGCCTAGGCAGGGGCGGAGCTAGGGGGGACCTAGGGGAGCCGTGGCCCCCCCGATGGTCCAGAAATTTACACACTCAATACAGTTTTTCTATGTAAGTTTGTTCCCTCCCCTCACTTTTCACCCAACGGTTGACCCTTCTTATGGCCCATCCATAAGTTTTGGCCCCCCTCATAAAAAATTCCTGGCTCCACCCCTGGGCCTAGGCTCTTTCCACATGTGTTGAGATGTGTCATTCTTCTCCAACAGGTGTCCTATATAATTATGACCACATGTTGATTGGCAAAACTGACATTCCCACCTATATAGATGTAAATTTTGAAACTCAAAGGGCAATTAAGATACACTATTACCTTTGTTCACCTCAGATAGGTTGTACCCTCATTACTAAATTGAGTGTTGGAGCTGTAAGCCTAGGATATCACCTCGGGGCTCTTTAGCTCACTTCTCTTTTGTAGGTTGAATCTCTGTCCAAGGTGTTTAACCGTCATCTTTCCATTTTATTTGGCGACTTTTGACGTCATCGGACCTGGTCCATTTGTAACAAATTCATATTGGATTGGACCAAATCTGGTCCAGTTGACACCCCTACACAGCGGATGGCCTGAGAATCAAGTTTATCAAGGCCCAATCCTAGTTGATGGACAAAACAAACACATCCAAAGACCCAAGGAGAGAAAAGGGTGAGACAGAGGGAAACAATATTGAGAACGAGGGTTGCCCATCAACAACGGAAGAAGGCATGCAATTTATGAAAAAATAAGAGATAAGCACAACATCACTCCAATAAATCTTAGGTACCAACATTTGAATCTATAAGGCACAAGCAGTCTTTACCACATGATGATTCTTCCATTCAGCCACCCATGTGAATCAAAATAAAATTGGAAACTGTTATGAAAATATTCTTTGGTGTTATCTGAACGAAACAATTTAATGCATATATCAAATTGATTCTATATTTCAACATGGAAAGAACGAAAAATAGAAAACAACTTGAAACACTCTTTCATTTAATAAACCAATGTCATCCTTGAATAATCATTAATGAAAGTTACAAAGTATCGAAAACCATTATAAGACGATATACGACTAGGACCCCACTCATCTGAATGAACTAGTGAAAAAGGACTCATGACTCTCTTATCATTTCTTGGAACAAATGATATTCTATGATGTTTATTTAATTGTCACAACTCACATTTAAACTTGTAACTGATTGTAACCTGGGAACTAACTTCTTCAAGACTTGGAAAGGCGGATAACCCAAACAACAATGCCATTGGTGAGGGGTGAGAGATGAATGAATGCGAACTACTATACTCCAGATAGTACAGTCCTCCAATTTCACTACCACTACCAATCATCTTCCCCTTCTTGAGATTCTGGAGAACACAATAAGAGTGATAAAAGGTGATTGAACAGTTAAGAGAACTAGTAAGTTTACTTACAGACAAGAGATTAAAAGAAAATTTAGGTACATAGAAGAAAGAATTTAATGTGAGGCCAGAATTAAGTTGTACATTACCAACACTAGAGATAGAAGAGATAACACCATTAGCTAGGGTAACATTCTGTGAAGTGGGGGAAGAAGATAATGACATAAGTGTGTCTGAAGATTCAGAATCTATTACAAGGGTGGGTATAGCACTGGAAGAAGAAGACTGATGAAGCCTCTATACACCTCATGTGTGATAGGCACTAACTTCTCCTTTCCAGCTCTTGAAGTAGGCACCTCACCAGCAGAAATACCATTACCAACATCATCTCCTACTACAGCATGGTTTAGCTCAGGTAGATGGTGGTCCATATAGGTCATAACAGAAATCAACTGTGTGGCCTTCATGACCACAATGAGTACAATCATGAACCTGTTCACATTCATTACCTCTTCTACCACCCCTGAATCCTTCTCTACTACCACCATGGTCTCCTCTAAATCCACACTTAGCACCCCTCATTGCACCTCTACCACGTACACCTCTTTGAATACTACCTCCTCTAGCAACCACCAAGGCAGATCTTTCTGAGATAGGTGTGTTCTCATTTTGTGGATTGGAAGCTCTCCTAATGCAGGAGAACACCTCAGAGAGGGATGGAAGGTCACTACCTAGAATCTGAGCTTGTACTGGTTCAAACTTAATTTTCAACCCATATAAGAAACAAACAACATCTAAATGTTTCCTTTGTTCTTATTGTACCTTCAAGTTAGTGAACAAGGGCTGATATACATTCAATTCATTTCTCAGGCTTTTTAAGGCTGCATAATACTCTTCTATGGTTTTATCACCTTGTTGGAGGGTAAAATATTCCTGATATAATTGATAGATTCTCGTCACATTGTCTTGTCTAGAGTATAACTGTTTTGCATGATCACAAATGTCTTTAGTCATGTCCAGGAACATAAGATTAATACTTATGTGATTCTCCATTCTATTCCATAATGATGTCATAAACTAGGTGAGAAAATTGTTGATGATACCATATAATTTTGTGAGGGAGATGATATGACTTGGGTGAGAAATTTGAAAGTGGTGATCTTAGTGTTTGAGAGGATGTCAAATCGGAAAATTAATTTCAATAAGAGCTGTGTGGTGGGGATCAATATGGATGAAAGAGAGGTGTTAGAGTGTGCAACTATTTTGGGTTGTGAAGTTTCCTAGTGGCCAATGAATTATCTATGATTAACCTTGGGAGGAAATGTTGGGACACAAACTAAAGAAATACAAGTGTACAAGAAAAGGCCACGACAGCCTTTAAAGATTGTAAATAACAGCCAACCACTAGACCAAAGATTGTAACAAACTAGACAAGTGGACTGACAAGTGGAGAGGCTGGTACAACAAAACTGTAACAACTGTACAACAACAGTGTATAAATAACAACAGGCTATAATCGAATGGGATTATCGAATTGGGAATACAACCTCTTTTCCTTTCTCTCTCTCTCTCTCTCTCTCTCTCATTCTGGAGGCAGGCTCCCTCGAAAGAGTCCCTGAGTTAGGCAGTTCCTAACAAGTTGGTATCAGAGCCAATTCAGAGCCAAGATGCCAAGCACAAGATCATCAGCAATGGAGAGTAGAGTCGATTACATGGAAGGAGAAATGCAAAGAATATCAGTCGATGTCAAAGAAATCAAAGAAAGCTTTGCATCCTTGTTGGAAAGACTGGCATAGGCACCACCTGCACAAATTCAGGAAGAACGCAGTGACACCAGTCATCGAAGTGGATCAAGAACTGCAAGAATCGAGTTTCCCATCTTCACAGGAGGAGATCCCACTTCCTGGCTTCTGCGAACAAAAAGATACTTCGATTACCACGACACACAAGGCCCTGATCGTGTTCCACTAGCCTCTGCACACCTGGAAGGAGAGGCGATCGTCTGGTACCAATGGTACCGGCGACGACACCCAAGGGCCACATGGGCCGACTTCACCGACGCCTTAACCATGCGATTTGGGGTCTCAACCTTTGAGAATTATGATGAAAGCCTCGCTAAGCTACGACAGACCAACTCTGTCCAAGATTATCAGATGGCGTTTGAAAGTTTGGTAGTGCGCGTGCAAGGCTGGCCAGAAAACGCGCTTGTCGGAAGTTTTGTTGGAGGACTTAAGGAGGAATTGTGGCTGGAGGTAAAAGCCATGCAGCCCACCACCGTTCTTGAAGCAGCAGCAATAGCCCGATTACATGAAAAC